GTAAAGAAGTTCTTCCTTATGTCCAGCCTGAAACGATCTTGAAGTAGTTTGTGACCATTTGACCTCGTCATCCCTTGGGGCGCTCTGGTGAACAAACGTTCCCCCAGATGCTGGTGGTCACCCCTGATAAACTTCTAGGTGGCCATCAGATCACCCCTGAGCCTGCGCTTTTCCAGGCTAAAGAGCCCCAGGGCTCTCAGCCTGTCATCGTAGGGTCTGCTTCTCTGACCTCTGATCACGCGCGTGGCTCTTCTCTGGACTCTCTCAAGATTCTCCACATCCTTTTTGAATTGTGGAGCCCTAAACTGGACACAGTACTCCAGCTGCGGCCTCACCAAGGCCGAGTACAGGGGGAGAATGATGTCCCGGGATTTGCTTGAGAAGCATCTATGGATGCAAGCCAGCGTTTTGGTCGCTTTACTAGCCGCAGCATCGCACTGCAGGCTCGTGTTCATCTTGTGGTCTTTTCTTCCCAAGTCTCTTTCTTCCATAGTGCTAGCCAACATAGCACTGCCGAGCGTATAAGGATGCTGCGGGTTTTTCTTCCCAAGGTGGAGAACCTTGCATTTATCGGCGTTGAACACCATCAGATTCTTGTCTGCCCACTTACTGAGCGTGTCCAGGTCATTTGAGATTTTAAAAAATGTGGAAAGCTATAGTTTAAAACAAGTCGGTATTCTTTCCCCAGAGCAGAAAGGGAAGCTTGTCAGAAAAGTAGTAGAAGTTGCCACATACTGTATCTCCATACACCACCCAGTCTTAGACCGATACATGACACTGGTACTTCAAGTCCTTTTTGTGAGCTAATAACCCACTTCTGACCAGTTTAAGGAAAAAAAAAAAAACTAGTTTCCCAGAAGGGACTGAATGATGAACGGAGCAGGGACCAGATGGGGATACTTGGTCTAGTCACCCATCTTCACAGATGCGCAATTTTTATTAAAAGCCAGAAGGGGCCTCTGATGATGGACCAACCTGACCTGAATGATGAACCAGCCAGAAATGTTCCAATTACCGTTGTAGTGAGCTTTATAACCATTAAGAAAAAACAGTCATGCCCCGCTGGCTTTCAAAAAAACCAGTGCTTCTACTTGTTATGCTCATTTTAAAAGCCTCATTCAGGCACTGCAATGCATCAGCCTGGTGTAATGTTCATCACTTTTAGAGTCTAGGTGCTCATGCCAGAAAGCCTTTGGGTATAAGAAAATGTACAGTTGCTTATAAAGTGAGACAACTGGGTTGTGTCCATGCCAGAGGAGAAGCAAATAACTAGGCATCGTCAGCACACTAGGCAAAAAGCCAGCATTCATTGAACAGCCTGTGATGCTTGGTGAAGGACCACGCTGCAGGGCTTATTACCTTGTAATGGTCAGACTATATGTTTCACAGCTGATCTTTTGCCAGCAGAAGGCTTATAATATAGCCAAGCCCAAAGATTACCACCCTACAGACACAGCTGCTGGGGACTGAGAACTCGGATGCGAATAGATGGTTACTGCACTCTAGTAGGTCTACTGCAGAATAAGGTCTGCCTCATCAAAACTGATTTCATTTACGTACCCAGGGAGGTGAATGCTCAAGATTATGAACAATAAAGAGGAAGAGCACCCTCAAATCCCATACTCTCAAGAGGCCCAGGAGCTGGCAGCATCAGGCCCCAAACCCACAAAACCCCAAACTCTTGAATGTAGCCTCAAAGAAGTATTTTGTTGTCTATTTAAAGAGAGGCAGGAGATGGGGCTGTGGGTACAAAGGATTATGCCTGAACATAGTTCAACTAAATCTCATCTGAAAGGTACTGCCTAGTCTAAAAGAATCAAAATTCAAGAGCCAACAATTTTATGGAACCCAGGTGTCTTGAAAATCAGGTCTTTAAACAAACTTATTTGTATTTTCCAAATTGAGGCTTTTGACTGTAGTACCTGTTAAGCATTCATTTTAGAAAGCCATTTGTTTCAATGTTTTCAATCTTACTATAGCCGGAGAAAGAATCATATTTGATTTCAAATGCGTTTGGTTTTCTAGGTGAAACAGATACAACATGCGCGTATGGGAAATGGGAAGTCTTATCTACCTGGGATCCTTTGACCCCAGCTGAACTTTCTGCCCCTGGGGCAGGGGGCTGGACTCGATGATCTTCCAAGGTCCCTTCCAGCCCTCATGTTTATGAAAGTCAGAAGGGTCTAACTCTACTAGTGGAAACGTGGTATTTGTATTGGTGGTCATTACTGAACGACGATGTAGACAGACATTTAAACAGCCAGTGAGACATGCTAAGTAAGCCAAAACGCAGGTGTCTCCCAAGATGCTTGGGTTAGGTGCCTCTGGTTCAAAGTCCGGCCAGTGTAACAAGAGCTCAAATAAATGTCATGAGCAGCAGTAACTGAACTTAACCGTGTTGATATCCTCTCGCCTTCCTCTTCATTCTCCCTGAAATAAAAACAGCCTCCCTAGCAACTCCTTATGACAGATGCACAAGCATCTGGGCAATGCCAATATCTGTAACGGTCAGCCATTTGCACCTTAACTGAGTGAATAAAATAAGAGAGCCAAGTAGTATCTGGTTCACAGTAGTATTCTGGTTCACAGCAGAAACCAACACGCAATGCTCAGTCGGCAGCTGGTGATGGGCATGCCCATGTCTTGTCATAGGTGACAACAGGTTCTGCCTACTACTCACAGGAGGCCCAGCGACTCCAATTCCAGGCGGACCTCTGTCTCCAGGCTGGCCAGGGAGACCGGGAGCTCCCCTATCTCCCTGAAACAGAGAGAGACAAGGGAGTTAAAGAATGGCAAGCTTCTGCATAAGCTTTCTGAGAAAGGCAACCAATGTTTAACACTAACTCACAGCTCAGAAATCGCCCTTGATACAACCTGCACGTTCTGCAAGGAACCTCTGCAATATGTATTAGGAGGCTGCAAGGGAACCGAGTCAGCCCATGGTAGTTCAGAGCCATGGAAGACTTCCCGTCACATTGTGCAAGGAAAAGCACGCCAATGATTTACCCTATCCTTTAGCTGCCTTTGTCCTCCATAAAGCTCTCCAGCCCATGTCTCTGAGCACTAGTATGATCCAGTCCTACATCATACCCCCTGGTAAAGCAGGAGCACAGGGTCCAGAAGCACTTTGGTTTACCTAGTATAGTGGGTGTCTAGTATTTCATTTCCAGCAATGTCATCGTTTTGCTAATAGGGCTGACTTAATGCACAGAGACCATGCGAGAAGCTCAGGGGTCTTGGGACAACTGTGCAGCTTTCATACAGCTCCATATATTGAATGCCAACTGCCTACTATGCACTCTGAAATGCAAAGGAAAACACTGTGTCATACAATGATCTGCCACCTACTTTTCTAGAGAGACTGTTAAGTAGTCTATAGCGTTAGTAGTACAGAGTAATTCATTAGCAGATCAAAAAAAAAAAGGGAAGAGTTTCAAGGGACTCGTGGGTTATAAATTTGCATGGCCCAATCCCTGTTTATTCTCTAAAACATTCTTCTTTACAAAGTCCCATTAAGTGTTTTTCACACTCTAGTTTAAAATGATTCAGTTTTTGCCAGTCCTTTCAAAAGACTGTATCTCCAATTGAGAGCCCTCCCTTTAGGATTTTAAATAATACGTACCGTAGGGATTCTGAATAGTGGTTTGACACCATTTGAATGAACAGTTTAGAAACAGGGTAGGATAGAAGCACAGACTATATTGGTGAGGTGCTTGCAACTACAATAATCCAAGAGCTCTGTTTTGCTTGTTGAAGTGAGGAGCATCCAAGAAGGCTTTTAAATGGACTCAAGTGGAATTGGGAGCTACAGCTTCATACCACAGGAGGCTTTGGACTGAGCAGGCGTCTTTGCACTATTTATATTCAGCTTTTCTTCTCTGGGCATGGTAGATCATTCTCCCTTGACCCTGGCCTATCAGAATTCAGTTTGCAGCACTTCTTCTTTCACTCTGTCCCAATTTCAATTGCCAATGAAAATTTACTCCAAGGATTCACACAAATCCTATCTGGATTTGATCCAACCTATAGACAGATCCCTCTTCTAATATTTTGTTTGAGAAAACATTTGTACCAAAAGCTGATGAGTAGTTCCCAAGTACAATTATTTCACCTTCATTAGTTTATGCTTAATGATAGATTTTACTTAGGCTGAAGTGGTGTTGTAGCTGAAAAGGTCCAGGGACTCTGTGAGAAGCAAGGTTTTTTGGTATTATCTTTTATTGTGCTTATTGTATAGTTGGGAGAGATGCTTTCAGGCATGGAGTGGGCACGCTATGTCTGATGCCTGGGTTTCACTTAGGATTTTTAAAGATGTTTATCGCTCTCTCTCTCTTTTTTTTTTTTTTGGTAAAAGCTTTCTTTGCGTTAGTAACTATGCCTCCTGAAAAGTGAAGGACTAAATAGAGTGAAGTGTAGCCATGTCAATAGGAAATGCTGCAAAAACAAAATCAGTCTGGGGAGCAGGCAATTTGGTTTATCCCAGAATATGGATTAATTCTCATGGTCCCAAACAAAACTACATCAGTATTCATGGATGAGCCTGCTTTTCTACAGTTCCTGCTCATGACTTGATTAATCCCACTACAGAACTGCTGCAGCATCTGTCATGTGCTCTGAACACGACCCAGGTGATCCTAGAACAGTATTAATCCCTTGTAGACTTTGGGTAAAAAGGAATGTGTTATAATAAAGTGTATGCATTAGCTCTCTAACTTAATACTGAGTCTCAAGACTACAATTTCAACAGCAGCACAGTAGGGTCAATCAATTTTTAGGGAGCAAAAGGCTGGGTTGCAGACAGAGACTCTTTAAGAATGGCAGAGGAGTCTTCCACCCTAGTCAGTGGTCCCTGGGCTCAGACAAGGATAAGGTAGGGGTAAGCCTGGATGTGTAAGCTGCTTTTTTGTTTTAAACTTATTCTCTGTTTGCTTTTGTTGCACAAGCTCTGAAGAAGCTGAACCACATGAACCTGCTGCCAGTGATAGGCTTACAAAGGGATATTTTTTTCAGGTGCCCAAATATAGCTGAGCCTCTCGTGTTTACAGAATCGGGAAAAGGGGGCTGCAACCCAGACATTCAACATGAGACTAGAAAACCCAGCAGGAGAGAGTTGAAAGCAGTGATGTCTTCCACCAACAACCATCCACGAGAAGATGGGAAGGGAGTTCAAAGTGCATTTTGCCTTGTAACTGTGAGGATGGGTTTTTTTTCATTGCATAGCTTCAACGCAATAGCTAGGTGGGAACATGCATCAAGGTACCAGCTGGAGGCTTCTTTCCATGCACATGTAGGACTTAGCCCACAATCTTAGTTACAGGTTTATTATAGGGATAAAAGCTGGAAAATGAGCAGTCACATAATGTCCGAACATGTACATTGGCAAAAGGCCAGTTAATTATAACATGGTAGATACTTCCTCCACTGAAAAAACAAGGATCCCATTTCTGGGGGAAAGTTTTACAGAATATATTTCCAGGAAGAAATAAAAGGGAACTTTCACAGAAAAGGTGACTCAACAGCTCCATTAACAAGGTGAAAAGTGGGCCTGATTGAACAGCAGCGGTGAGAGCCTCACACTTACCTTGTGACCAATGAGTCCCGGCAGTCCAGGCAGGCCTCGGTCACCCTAGAAGGGCCACAGCCAGAAGAGGTATTAGTCAGCACCGTGCTGAAGAAGAAGGACCTTCAACACCTCAAAATAAAAGCACGCCTGCCAACAAAAGCAGCGTTGCCCAGTCACCAAGCCAAAACTCCCAGGGGCCGTGTGTCATTCTCTTAGCTTGACGGGGATTAAATGCTTTCAGGGAGTTTCCGAGAGGGACCACCTGTTTTTTTTTATTCATAAATTAGTCACCAAGGTCTATATTTTCAAGCACTCACTAACTGGGGATGCCTAATGTGATGCAGCCATCAGTTCCCTCATGTTCATCTGCAGGCTTTCCTGCACGATGAACTCGGGACTCTGCCTACAAGGGTGGTGCAAAGATTGAAAGCACAAAATCGGATGCCACGTCGGATCCCGATGTGGCATCATACCGTGAAGTTCATCCGCTAGCGTTTGCTTTTCCAGAGGAGAGGTAGTGGGGCATGGGGCTGGGAATATACAGCCATAATGAAGAATGCATGGAGGTGTCAGGAGTAAGGCAGCTTGCTGCAGGTGCCATTGGTGGCAGCCATGTGAAGGGCAGTCTTTCCTCTGTGATTTTATGTGATTAAATAGTACAAGCTGCCTCTGACCAGGCCATTTCTACTGAGCCACAGAATGAGTAGCCCTCATTGGGTGCAGAGGGTGGTGAGAGGACTTACCCGGTCTCCATCTTTACCCTTGCCAGGTAAGCCAGGTACTCCAGCAGGGCCAGGCTCACCAGCAGGCCCAGGTCCTCCTGCTTTTCCATCTCTCCCTGGCTCACCCTGTAGAAGAAATTACAACAGGTGTCAAGCATGAGCAAAGGACCATTTCTGGATCACATCCCTCCCAGGAATAAAAATATCAGAAGCTCTTGGAGGTTTTACAGACTGATTGCTTTTCAATGCCACTGCAAGCCCTGCTTTGTTGTGCGGCAAAATGTGATGAATTATCTTAGCTTTTAAGACTGGGCATTTTCCTCTTAAAAGAAAGCATAAACCCTAAATTTGTGGGGGGAAAGGTTGGATGGTATGATGAAACGAGGCCTCTGGTAGGACACTGAGAAGGAGGGATCTTCAATTATAGACCACACGTGCCCTCCCCAGCTTAATGATACACTAGAGGGCCCATCTATTTTGGGGCAGGGGCTGGAAACTGGGTTGCAAGTGGCTTGAGGCATCTCAGTCTTGCTCCACTGATAAGGTGGAAAGCGTAACTTCCCCCCACTCCATACTCTTGACAGAATCCTTCCTACAACACATGGCTGAGAAGGATCGTTAGCAGATGGAGGTGATTTCAAGGCAATGACATCACTGCATCTAAAATTGCCATGACACAGCTCATACATGGGTGAGCAGGTAACGTCCTACATCTTGTATTATACAGGAGGTGAAAGGATACGCTCTAATGGTCCCTTGTGTCCTTAAACAACACATATTCATTAATCCAGATAAGACTGTTTCTGTTGCACGTCAAAAAAAAGGCTAGGCAGATGCATTCACGTACCAAACAGGAAGGAAGCTTACCTTTTCGCCCTTTTGCCCATCCTTTCCTGGTGGACCGAAATTTCCAGGTACACCCTAACGAAAAAAAAATATGATGATTAGTTAAAAAACTTCTTTCACAGATTCACAGAAGTTTAGGGCTGGAAGGGACCTCGTGAGATCATCAGGTTCAGCCCCCCTGCTCTGGGCAGGAAAGACAACTGGGATCAAATAACCCCAGCAAGGTGTGTGTCCAGTCTCCTTTTGAAGATTGCCAGGGTAGGTGCCTGAACCGCCCTCGCTGGGACTCTATCCCAGAGTCTGGTCACACAAACCGTGAAGAAGTTTTTCCTTATATCCAGTCGGAAATCTTCTAGGAGTTTATGGCCTTTGCTTCTGATTTCCCCCTGGGTGGTCTCTGATTGTAAATGAAGTTCAATAGGAGGAGATGTACTATACTGTGTCTCATGGAGAGTTTTAGCAATTCTACACATCTCAGCAGAGAGAGCCTGTAATCCTGGGAACAATGGACTAGAAGAGCTGTGCATCGCCTGCCTAAGAGAAAGTTACTTTATCCAAGCAAACCTGAAGTGCAAATCCAAAGGAAAAAATGAGTTAATCCTAGATTTGTGAGCTATTTCCTCCACCACTAATCAAAGTACATTTTTCCCCATTGTAAAATTCTCTTAGTACTTTTTTGCTGTGTTGAAAACCACTCAGAAGTCATCACTTTTGATATCAGTGAAACCAGAAATCCAGCCAGAAATCATATACTTGTATTATTTCACTAATACCCTATACTCCCACTCTGTGGAATAGGAATGCTCATAACACAAATCTGGCTTTAGTTCAATATTCATTTCATTCCCCACATTTCAGTTTTCCTTCCATTTATTTACAGGCAGATGGGACTGTACTGAGTTGCAGATATAAAGGTGATTTTCCTCCAAGCCAAAAATATTACATTTATTTCATCCATGTTCAAACTAGGACCAGGTTTGCAGGATACATCTTTCATGAGATGCTTTTTTTTTTTTTTTTAAGGAAGTTACAAAATGATCCACACCCACAAACAGCAACTGGGGTGTTGCCCAAATTCATCATGCACAGTGCAATTATATGGATTTTTTCCCCTGCATCAGTAAGTGTTATATCTTGCTAGGTTGGCTCTTTTCGCGACTTCTGGCTACATGTGGAAGATGGCATTACTTCCAGCTTCCTTTTGGCCGAATATGTAATGTAGAAAAGGCACATCAGGGTGTCAGACTCAATGACCAATTGAGGTCCCTTCTGACCCTAACATCTATGAATCTATGAAAGTAGCTAGTAGAGTGGGTCTGTGATTATTTGAATTGCTTGATTAGCAAAGGCAATATCACACAGGCTTCCTCTTGATCTGGCTTGCTTAAAAAATGCCCTTGCACTCCAAAGTCTAAGATTTTTCTTTTTTATGCAGGTATAAATCCAGAGAAAGAACATTGGTTACTTGTAAAATTACTCCAGATTTACCCAGCCAGAACAGATCAGACTAAGACGAAAAAATGAATATGCAAAAAATGAAAGGCTCACTCCTGCAACATGGTGCTGGTGAGCACTTACTTGTACAAGTAGCCCTACTGCATTGACTTCAAGGGCTCTGCTCATATGAGTGGTACAGAACTCGACTTGAGGGGATTGTAGGTATTCTAATAAAAATGGGAGGTGAGTGAGAGTCTGTCGGCTTGCACTGGTCCTCCTTTCACTAAAACAGGCAATATGGGAACAAGGAGAAGCAAACCACAAAGAAGAAAGAAAGGAAGCAATGTCATTTTTCATTTGAGAGAGCTGGCAGTAAATCAGGCAGTGAGAAGTGAGGTGGGAACACACATCAAACCTCCATCCATCCTTGTTGCTAGAGCGGTGGCGAGAATTAGCTCCCTGAATGCACCAAGCTCCTCCAGGTGCATTGAGCCTTTCAAAGGCAGAACAAAAGGTTGCAATGAAATACCACATGTACAAACAAGCATAGTGCCCCCGCTTGGGAATGGAAACCCAGTGAGGGGAATACAGCAGGGCTCAGATGGGGAAACAAATCCAGCAATGACTACTTACCACGTTTCCTGGCAAGCCGCGTGGGCCTGGGGGGCCTTCAGCACCAGGAGCACCCTGGTTTAAGAAAATCAAATAAAATGCAGACTATTTGTATTACTCTAGTAACTAGCAGTTCCTGATGAGATAGGGGCCCAGACTAAAGGGTAGATGCTGAACGTTTCCTGTCCAAAAATGGTTATGGCCCAAGCTAAGATTAAACAACATAATACTAATGTAGATATATACCTTAGGGATTTAAAAATTATCCCTCACCCAGAAATAGCCTCAGTTTAAATCAGGTATTGTGAAGGAGTGTCCTCCTGGGGAGGGGAAGGGGTTTGCTCAGGACCACTCCAGACTTGTCTAGTCTCTGGGAGCATCTCTGAAGCCAACCTGGGCATGGTTTCTGGAGCAGAAGGGAGACCAGGGCCCTTCCTGCTCTGAGACCCTGGTCTTTCCCTCTCTCACCGTCCCTGGTTCTCTGTGGCCCCGACTCAAAGAGTGATCATCCAGGTCTGCTCTTGAGACGGGGACTTCACCTCCTGTTGGGGAGCCTGAGTGCAACCCAAAGTCCCAAGCAGCAAAGCAAACCGTTCCTTTGGTAAGAGCATTTAGTGGTTCAAAGGCCACCCAGTCCGCGGTCCTCTGCCCCCTCTCCAACACGTCAAGCAGTTCCTCTGTCCCCAGTCCGGTTTGCCCAGCCCTGAGCAATGCCCAAGATACTCAGTTGTTCCCTTCCCTCAGTTGTCTCTCCAGGTCTCCCAAGCTGGCCTCCTACCCTGATCTCCTACAAGAAGCGTTCTTGTAACGCAGTGATTTTAGGTGGCTTCTTAGCCCCTGGATTGGCTCCACATCAATACCTTTAAATGGCTTAAAGTGCTCATTATTCATCTTGAAGTTACGCCACACCAGGGCAGGATTATCTTTAATCTGCATGACCTTCCTCCTATTCCATTAAAGGCACCTATATGTGTGCCCGATGCCTGCTCTGACACATGCTAATTAGCACGCGTCGGAACAGACACAATTAATCGAGTCTGTTGAAGCGTGCTAATTAGCATGCTCCAGCAGCCTTGGCATCCCTATGCTTTAAAATGAGGGGTGGGAGGGCTTTACCTAAAAATCATTCAACGGGTTTTAGTTGAAGTGTCCCTGCCACCATTTGGCAGTGCAGGATGCTGAATCCAGGAGATGCCATGGGTGCTTTAATTAGAGCAGATCCCGAGAACCACTTTAATTAAAGTCCCCTGGCCCCTCCATCCCAAAGCAGATGTAAAGACACCCAAAAGTTGTGGCCACTCTCCACAGCTATTCCACCCAAGTGGAAGTCTTCCAGTATCCCACGATGCAGTGGTTCCTCCTGAGTCAGGGCGAGGTGGGGTGCAGTGGGGCTGAGCACGGCACCTCTCCCCCAGTGAGCGCCCCAGCCCAGGATTGCCTTCTGCTGCCACCGGACCTGCTCGCTGCTCTTGGCTCAGGAGCAATGTGGCAGTCCTGCCCCTAGCTCCTACTCAGGCCCCTGCTCACCAAGCCTGCCATGGCAAGTCACAGCTGTGCAAGTGAAGGACAATCAGAGAAGGTTTTTTCCCTTAAGGTCTGACTGCTTCACCAAGCCGCTCACACTAAGCTGATTAACATTTGTGCGGTTTACCGCGTAAGGTGTAAGGTGTTCATCTTTCTGCAGCCTCCTGGCTGTGGGCCATCTCACTGTTGTTGATATGTCCATGATGATATTCAGACTCTATGGATGCTACAGGTCCGTAGTGCTCAACTTATCTGATCCCAGAGAAGGGGAAGGGAGCAGGGCAGCATTCATTGCTGTATCTCTGGTATCTGGACCCAGACTCATGGGGAGCTCCATGGGAGGTAGGTTGAGCAGCACAGCTACAGATCCATCTGGTCTCGTCTCACACGTCCCAGACATAGGCAGCCCTGGCACTTAGCAGGGACTCAATCAACCCAGTCTGAGATACCTGCTAGGGATAGCTACTGAGAAAAGCCATGCACAGGGCACAGACTCAAAGAGTCTCCAGTCCTGGCCTGTAAGGAACAAAGAGCTGCAGATGGGCTCCTCTCAGATAGGAACAGCTCCCCAGGACTGTATTCCTCTCTCCCAGGGACTACTTCAAGTACTCCTTCCAATACTGGCTGCCCACCTTGACCCATTCCTGGATGAGTGGTTTGTGGTAGGTTTTGTAATGACGATTCTCCTTTTCAGAGGCAAACATGGGACTGATCAGCAAGGAGATGAAGCCGACAGCCAACCTAGATCGAAACTCATTCTGGCTCTCGACGAGAGGCACACTCACCATGCCAGAGGGAAGCCTGTGCCTTAGCGATATGGGCACGCATTATCGAGCACATTTTGTGTCCAGCGTCTCATGCCCAGAAAAAGGAGAGGGATTTTTTGTTTGAGGAACCTGCTACTTAGACAGGAGGCTTGCAATTCAGACCTGCGTGCGTCAAACTGATTAGGGCATCGATCCATCTGCTGCTGCCAAGCAGCTCTGCATTCCTGTTTGCCCAGAGCAGCAGCTCTCACTCCAGTTGAAGATTAGAAATGCAGGCTCGGCAGGATCAGTCTGAGATTACTAATCTGTAAGGCACCAATTTCAGAACCCCTTTGGGGTGTATTTCCATCAGGGGAAACTGCACTAAGTGAAGCAATTACTCACAGTCTCTCCAGGAGTTCCAGTTTCTCCTCTAGCTCCTTTCTGTCCCTTCATGCCCTGAGCAAAAAAGAAAAAGGGAGGCCAAGTGATTAGAAAGGGGACAGAACTGCCTGCAGGACAGAGAGACACAGTGTCCTCAAGACACTGAACATGCGCTTGGCTGCCAGCTTAGCTAATCAATTCACAAAGGACTTTAATGGCCCAGGAAACTGCTTCCAGTTCTATACCCAACCAGAAAATGACAGGTAAAAAACAAAGCTTTGAGACACAAGACAAATGAGTAATGACTGATCAGCTCAGAGCCTGTTACTCAAGGCCAGATGCTGGGACGTGAGGATATTCATGTGGGTGTATTTCAGCTCTCGCGGTGCCATCCCCCTGCCCGCACACCACCAAAATCCAACTGAGCCCCTCTGCACAGGGGCAGGTTTGCCCCAGCTCTTTCAGAGGGCAACCAGATGAAGAATAATTCAAAAGGGATGAGATCCAACCGTGGGCAAGGAGGGGACGCTCCCTGATGCACCACGGAAATGCCACTTATGCTTTTTGTGAAGGGTTTAGAGGGCACAGAGGGCCTTGCGCGGGCCTCTGTAGAAAGTGAGATATTAACATGAGAGCGTGAACACCAAAGCTCTTGCTTTCTTGGTGAGGCAGAGACTACTGCTGTCCTTAAATGCCTTTTCTTCTTTTTTTCTTTTTTTTACACTAAGATTAAAGGGGCTTAAACCACATCCGACTCCTGTACCTAGAATGGGCCCGGCAGAGACTGTGACACTATGAACTTGTCCCATGCAAGTGTGTGGTCAGCCCTAACGGAGAGCCCACATCCATCAGAGAAAGTGGTGTGCTCCCTCCAGCCTACCTGTGCCCCTTCAGCACAGGAGTTACAATCCTGGCCAGATGGTAACAGCAGGTTGTGTAGCCCACACAACGGTTTTCAGTAGGAACAGGACTCACAATATAACCTATTGCTTGTAAACTAAGGAGAACTCAGAGGGTAAAGGACTTAGTGTGGCTCTGAATGCTGTCCTGAAATGTGTACCGATACCCTGTACCCATACAAATACTGGTACAGATGCTGGGACATGAGGATACTCATTCGTTATATATGTGAAGATATTCATTTGGGTTTGTATTGTTCACTGGTTGGCCCAGTGGTGCAGCCCAACCCATCATTGGCCTAGTGGTGTAGCAGTAAAGGAGACCTGGGTTGGGAGATCCCTCAAAGCTTCTGCCAGAGTAGAAATAGCAGGTCCCTACGATTCATCCAGAGCTTGGTTTTCTTCTCTTTTGCACAGGTGGGAATCAGGGGCAGCTAACTTCATAGAAGTCAACAGAAGGAAATGAAATGGGTGCTGCAATGTTCATGGGAAAGAAAGACATGCAGTGGCCTGCTCTCCGAGTCTCTCCCTCCTCTATCTGGCCCCTCCAGGGAGTTAAAGCCACACCAACCCTCTGCTTACCTGTAGTCCTGCAAGCCCTGGGAGCCCCTGCTCACCTGGAGCACCAGCTGGTCCCTGCAAAGAAAAGGGCAGAAGGAAACAACTCAATAATTTTGCTAGGCCAACTGGGCTCGAGGAATTTGTGGGTCAGTGGTTGGACACATCTCAGGATAGCTGCAGGTATGACTGAGAAGAAGCCCATCACCCTTGAGTGTTCCCCACCTCTAACTCAGGGGGGACGAATCATTTGATGTTACTCAAAACAAAGCAGACCAACAGAGCTCTTTCCAGACATCCCTCCCTGTACGCTTATGCTTTGCTATGCTATGTGTCTAGGAGGAACTCCTCATATCAGACGCCTCCCAAGAGAACATGCCACCCGGCCACCACATGCTCTTCTAGGAGGCCATCACAGCTCTAAGCCACCTCTGATGAAATACCATCATGTGCTTACAGGTTCTCCGCCGATTCCTTGATCTCCTTTCTCTCCTTTTGGTCCGGGTTCTCCCTGAAGCAAAACAAGAAGAGGATGAAGAACAAAAAAAAGGAAAGCAAAGCAAAGCAAAGCGATCTCCTTCACCAGGCTGATAAAGGCATGCCATCTCCACTCTTCAATGGAAGTGGGAGACCAAAGAGATCCTCCTTCCCATATGCAGCAGAAGATTTTCATTCCTCATTGAAAATAGAAGGGATATTCCAGTTTGATGGATGATGAGGTGACCTGTCCTCTACTACCCTTCTACCCAAAAGAGGACAACCCTTTTCGGGTTAAGGGAATATGGCCAAGGACGTTGTCTTTATGAGAAGCTGGATTCAAAGATCATTTGAGGCCAATTAACAAACACACGGTAGAGCATGATGGACTTTGGTCTAGGCTAAAAATGAATGAAAGAAAGAGCACCCTTCAGCTAAACTGCTGCCATCGCCACTCACACCTGGTGTCTGGTTCCCAGTGAAAATAAAGGGATGAGGGATTTTTACTGTCCCGGATGACGGGGCGCATGGGATTGTTAGTGGCTGTAACTCAGTAAAATATTGCCTGTGGAAAAAAGCCTCGTTTTCCTAATTCTGCATTCAAAATGTTTTCAATTAAAGGGATTGTTACTTTCCCTCTGAGATTACACTGACATAATCTAATACCTTAAAAGCAGCACGTTGCATATTGTTTAATTCAGAGGATATAATATTCCCTGTGCTCTATATTACATGCCCAGATCGTTTGAAATGAGATGTCAACAGTAAGCATGCTGCAGTCAGTGAACTACTGCAACCTGATGTAAGGTGGCAGGATGAATGTTTTTTCTTCTTACTCCTCTTCAATGATGGGCACAGAGAGGAGGGCCCGTGGTATATCCAGTGTTGTGGTATCTACAGGCCCTCTGGGTAATGAATGCCATTAACCTCATCTTGCATTCATGGCATTTCCCCTCCTTTTCCCTGTTGCAACATCAGTGCAGTATTTCGTGTGCTGCTGCCATTGATTAATGGGATTCATTTATCCCTGTCCTTCCTCTTTATAGCAGTTCAGTCTGTTCAAGAGGGTGGAACACTGCAAGATGAGAGTTCACCAACTTTCATTTGAATTGTAAAAAGTTTAGCATCGTGCTGCTGGGATAGACTTAAGCAAATAGCACACAGCTGTTGAGGAAATGGTGCATCATTGTGGGCCTGATCCTATCCCTACTGACCCCAGTGGCACAAGGTAGTCCCTATGTTCATCCCCGAAATTATATTTGCATGAGAACATATGCAAGAACAAGCAGTATTCATTTTTTGTTGTTGTGGTGCCATTTTATAAATGGCTCTATTACCCAGCCAAGGATCATGAGTGCTGCATAACTTCTGTTACCAACCACACACCACCAGCATAATGACCCGTCAAAACAGAGTTTGAAAAGACTCTGTTGTTTGACGTCGGCCCATGCGAGCTGTGCACCGCTTCCGTTTTAACAGTGTATTTTCAAACTTCTCGTTCTGCTTACAAATAATTGCTCAACTGAGAAAAGGAAAGAATCTGCAGTGAATGTTATTCGCACGGACTAATTCAACAAGGCCTAGTTCACAGAGCAGCAGGCAGGTAACGGCTCGCTCCCTTGAACTGACAGTCGCTGGTGCCACCTAGTGGCCACGCCAAACAGGCGGCTGCAGCACAAACTAGTACAACAAGATTAACCAAATAATAATACTGTGACAATTGGTATTTGGCAAAATTACATTTCAATCTTTTAAACCCTTCTGTGTGATGAGAGCACCCAAAGGCACAACTGCACACTACTAAAGTCAAGGAAAAGGATGCTTTTATTAACTAGCAAGTCAAACAGGTATTGCCATGGAAACCAAGACTGCGGGAGAAGATATTCAACCGTCTAAGGAAGCAGCTTATTTAATTCTCCATTTTCCTACTTTTTGCTTGTATTTTTACGTTAGACTGGAACCTACCGGCCCAATGGACCGGCCTCCAAATTAACGACCTCACATACCCACAAATAAGGATGAAAGGGGTGAGTGGTTCCTGAGCCAATCTGCCAATGATCCTGAATCCAGAAGTGTAGGGACAATCTAGAGGGTCTCTCCAAATTCGATGAGCATGGGCTCTCCATGGAGCCTGTCAGCTGTGTTAGGTCAGCTTTTGTCCACTGGCAATTAAACATAACCCACCCACTCATTGTCTACAGCTCGGTGAACAGCAGTGGGATGGCAATGACTAACATCTGCTACCTGCCTGGACTTGAGCTCAGAGCTTCCCTTGAGTACTACCTCCCACTGGGTTTTGGGGGTTTTTTTTGACACTTCATTACCTTCTTCCCTGCTTGCAAAGGGGAAATGCACATACTGGGTGCCAGAGTGGACCCTGCTACTCTGTGACTTGACAAGTGTCTTTTACAACCCAAGTAAAAGACAACAAGAAATTAACCCAAGTAAAAGACAACAAGAAATTGTTTTTTAGATATATTGGGAGTAAAAGGAAGGCCCAGGGAGGAATAGGACCCCTGCTAAATGGGCAGAAACAATTGGTGACGAACAGGGGGGACAAGGCTGAACTCCTCAATGAGTTCTTTGCCTCAGTGTTCCTAAGCGAGGGGCACGACAAGTCTCTCACTGGGGTTGTAGAAAGGCAGCAGCAAGGTGCCAGACTACCATGCGTAGACCCTGAGATGGTGCAGAGTCACTTGGAAGAACTGGATGCCTTTAAGTCGGCAGGCCCGGATGAGCTCCATCCGAGGGTGCTGAAGGCACTGGCCGACATCATTGCAGAGCCACTGGCGGGAATATTTGAACGCTCGTGGCGCAC